TTTAGTCACTCGAGGTTACATGAGTTGATAAGGGACTAATCGTTAAATTTACTCGTGGATGCTAATGACATCCACGCGAGGCCGAAACTGGGTGCTACATCATTTTTGGAGGATTATCAGTCCTCTATTATATGTGATCTAGGAAGATTAGAACTTCTAGTCATGATCTGATAGCTTATAAACCTATTTACTAAAGACCATACAATCTTGGTCTCCATACCATCGATTAAAATTAATGGATTTTAATCACATTCAAAGGCTAAAAGATCATTTCTAAGATGCAGTTTGAATTGATTTAAATGGATTTAATGGGTCTATTTACTGCCACAATACGTTCTGAGCTAAAGGTTCCCACTCGTAATGAAAAATGAAAAATGAATCATGTGTGATGACTCTGATCACAATAATTATGTATCTTCATAACTAGATTTAAAAATTACAATCACATGCTTTGACAAAAAATTATCTGGCGATTTACCTTACTTCATTATCTACAAAGAAGTTCGATTTGTGTATCGAGATATTATTTTTCTCGTATAATGAATCATGTTTGACAGCCTTGGTCACATGATTTATTTTACCATTACTTATACTAAAATTTGAAATGTTCACTTTGGTTTCTTACTGGTAAGCTTCAGTGAACTGGTCTCTTTTCGGTTGCTCAATTACTTAATTCTCTAGTTGTAAATTGTAAGGCGTATTAATTAGATAAGTAGTAGTTGGTATTTTTCTGCCAAGACATGAAACTGCCATCGATAATATGCAACATTATCATTGTTTTTCCCCAAACTTACTCGTTGGAAAATCTCTAAGTGCCGCATTGGTTTGTCTTTTTATGCCGAATTTTATAACTTGCAAGAATACATTTTTGCCTTATTCCATAATTTAATTTGCCTTGACCTATGATTTATTATTATCCGAATCCGATCTATGTTAGTATCTCTTGTTAACATGCATAAATGCTTCATTTGATAAAATTAGGATTTATATGCCTTGCTTAAATTCGGTTTAATTTACCATTATTGTCTGTTTGTTCATTGGAGTATCTCTCTCAGCCATTCTTTCTATTCATTTTCTGTTGCCTTATAATCATCAGAGTGCTTTCAAATCTTCTTATCTCATACATTATTGTCTTATTTCCTTTGCCAGCCACCACGATCTCACGAGCCTTGATCTTTGGGATAGCTTAATGCGAATCATTCAATCACCCAGAGAGTCTGTAAACGAAGAAATCGTCGCTCTGGCGCTGGCCTGTTGTTCTCGTGCCCTTCTTTGGCGCCTTTTCCGGCTTACACAAACTGGTTTGGGCGAGTTTTCCAACTTCCCCGATGGAGGAGACTCTGATTTTTTGACCGGACCCACATCGATCTCCGCTGTTGATGGATTCGATGTGGCTGCCGAGGTGGAGCAACGTGCAGAGCTGCGCGAACTGCGACACATGCTGCATCAGTTTATGAGTCTTGTAACAGAAGCCTACTTACCAACCAAAGAGGCCACCGCTCAGGCCACTAAGCCGCTTCCTCCAAAATCTGTTGCAGTTGAAGCATATCTGGCGGTCTGTGACCTGTTGGTAGTATTTTCCAGACATTTGGGCACTCAGCAGCCAGGCCTCAAGGCTTTGGCTTACCAGGCCGATAAACGTTTTGAGGATGGTCTCATTCATTTTCTCGAGGCTCGCGTTTTTGTTGCTGATGATGTAAGTGCCATATTTGCTGTATCAGTTTCCATCTAATTTTCCGATTGATTATAACGTTATCACATAATGTGCTGTACTACAATTAGCAGGGGTACATTTGCTTTATTCTTATTGTAGACAAAATTAAAAGCAAGATAGTTTTTTTGATCGCTTACAAATACGAGTTTGTAAGAATTTCTCTTATTCAAAATAAAAATGCATTCGAATCCCCATGTCGTCTCCATTCCGTCTGAAGCTCTCTTACAAAGCTTAACCAATCTCCTAATGGACAACCATCCTGACCATAGTGATCGTTTATTTTTAACTTTTTATCACATGTGTAACTCTTAATATAAGGCGTAGTTTAATTTACCTCATCGGTAAAAGTTATTTTTCTTTTCCGTACACGTCTTAAATGTTTCATTCTTGTTATTCTGTTTTACTTCTTGATGTGTATAAACCTTTGTTTACTGTTTATATGCTTTGCACCATCGAACATTAAATATAATTGTACTAACTTCCCTCTGGGTTAATTCCTGTTAGTCTAATTTACTTTAATTCCAATTGCAAGTTTTTAATTTTATCTACCTACCCTTAATCATGTTAATAGGTAATAACGTCAATTATTTTATCTGTCAGCTTATAAGTACTTATAGATTACCAATTCTTATTTAACAAAAACCAAGAGAAATATCCTTAAGGTAGCTATATCTATCCAGAGGCCGATTATGCTCCTATTCTAATATCAATATCTTTCTATCCTTTAGTTCTTATAATCCCTTTTCGGCATCACCTATTATAATAATCTATTATTTTGCAGATGGAATCTTTAGGCACCTAATCATTTTCTCCGTTAAAATTTTTGAGACTATCAATGACGTTACTATTACATTACGTGGCCGCTTATTCCAGAAAATGATAAGGCAAATCAGGTCTCTTAACCTACATTTGCGTACATTACCT